TATGTATGAACCTAACATCTGATATTCTGTATAAATAATGTGACTACGAGAGTAAGCTACCAAAAATTCGTTACTGGGTTTATGACCTCTACATACACTTACACCAATATTTACATGACGTATGTGAGGGTCATAACAAAGATAACCCTCAATCTTTCTAAGATTCAACTTACTAGCTAATTTCCAAAATACCAGAGTTTCTCTTTCACGTTCATCTCAACTTCCACCTCGCAATGTGTGCTCGTTCTTCACAAAAGCCAGCACCGTGGCCAGGAGTCGAGTCATTCCACACCTGATGAGACACATTCCCGCCCTCCTTGCCTCTTCTTGGCACAATTCAGTCAAAAGCTATCTCAGTGATCCAGTTCTTACTGCCACCTCTCATTTCCGCTGAGGGTGTCGTTCTGCAGTGTAGGCCCCCCTCTCTTTTTTTTTTTTGAGATATATACAAGAGTTGTTACATTCTTGTACAGCCACTAGTATGTGTAGCGTTTCGGGCTACACATACCCTGGAATACGATCCCCTGCCGCGAAGAATCGTTTATTCATCCAAGTACACATTTTACTGTTGCGTTAAACAGAGGCTACAGTTAAGGAATTGCGCCCAGTAAATCCTCCCCGGCCAGGATACGAACCCATGACATAGCGCTCGCGGAACGCCAGGCGAGTGTCTTACCACTACACCACGGAGACTGTATGAGACTTTCTTCCCTCCGCCATTCTCTAGCTGTATGTACGTTTAGCGTTGTGATATGACTCGGTTCCGGTGGCTCGTTGGTGGCTGTTGGGTGCAGACGTGTTGTTCGTAGCGCTCGCCAGTTCCACCCTAGTGGCTGTGTGAGGAGGGTGTCTGTGACGGCTGTGGGGGTGTTGTCCCCCGGGTGGGCGTGGTACGCCTGTTGAGGAGACATGAGGTCTTACCGGCCTCCGTTGAAGAGGACCTCGTCGGCTGGTCTGGCTTTTACGGTGTCAGTGGACCACTTGTTGGTTGGTGTTGCCCTGGTGGATGTTCTCCATGTGCAGTTGTCGGAATTGGTGGGCATCCAGCTGCTGCAGGGGAACCGCGCCGTGGTAAAGTTTCGCCATCAGGCTGCATTTCAGGCGTTTCTGGGGCGGTGTGAGGGGCGTGTTTACCCTCTCCCTGATGCCGCCGGTTCTGTTAAGGTAGTGAACCTCAGCGTCGCCTTGACGTATGTGTCGGTGCGTGGTGCCCCCTTCGAGTTTAACGACAATCTCCTAACTGCTGTGTTTGGGCGGTTTGGTACTGTGCTAAGCATTCGTTGGGACAAGGTACTTGCAGGGCACTGTACTGGGATGCTTGACGGTTCCCGCACCCTGACCATGTCTCTGAAGAGTAGTGTTCCGTCCTCTGTGTCCGTGTTGGGTTACACGCTTAAAAGTGTTAAGTTTGGGTTAAAGTGGCAGTGTAAGGAGCAAATGGTCGACCCGAGGTCAGCACCACTGTGGTCAATACAGTTATCCTGGAGTGGATAAATGCTTTTGGAAGAGCCGTTGTAGTCTTAAAATTATTTTTTTTTATTGAGAAAGATCTCGGACATGGGGGAGTAGAGAGAGAATAAGTGAAGAGGGAGTGAAAGAGGGAAAAGGTATGGATGGTTACAGAGAAAGAGGGCAAGACAATTGAATATATAAATCAAAGCAGACAAAATTGAAGGTTAGTAGAAATGGGGAAGTAAAGAATGACAGTGTAAGAAGAGAAAAATATGTAAAATATAGGAAGGGGGGTAAAAATAGGTGTGATATCGTGATATAATGAGATTGTTTTAATTTTCTCAATAATAAACTAAAGGGATTTAAAAGTTTGAGAAAAAACGGGAAAATTACAGAGTAGAAACCATTTTTACTGATTTTCTGAAAACGGCGGAGTAAAAAAAGGCTTTTACTGATATTCGATTTTGGTAACGCTTTGCCAACTTCCATTTGACCACTGTGTGTTACCCACGGAAGCAAAGAGGTTCTGTTTTTAGTCCTCTACAACCTGTTGTCTGTCTTGATCCATTGTTAGAAGAGTCAAGGGCCAGCTAGCAGAGCTGACCGTCACATAAGCAATACTAAAGCTAATGTTCGTTGCTTGGTAGATTATCTATTTATATTATACTAACCCAAGATAAAATGAAAATTTTATTGGAAACAGATGAAGGGCTTAGTGCTGAAAGCAACCTCTCATTCAATCCCGACATATGTGCTATAGTTACTTTGAACTCACTGGACTCGCAATATCCACCACCACCACCCCAACCCTCTCCACTACCACCACCCGACCCCACCCCACCCCACCCCACTCCACTACCACCGCCACCACTACCATTGCCCTAACCACCGCTACCTCCACATTATGCATCACCGCCACATTAAGAACTATATTCATCTTAACCACAAACATCTTCACAACCACTACCACCAATATTAACATATTACCACACCAACATTACCGCTATCATCTTTGTCATCAAGGCCTATACCACCACAAGCACCAGAGACCAAACAGAAGGCATCCAACATCCCCCCAAAGTAACCGTTTTGACTGCCATCTTCATTAGCACCTCGACCTTAACCACTATATAGCGCCTCCTTCTCCACAACCACCACCATCACCCGCACCAGAGACCAGTCCGGGAGGCCACCAACATCCCCTCACTACGCAGCCAGTCAACGAGAGCTTCTCCACATGAATATGGAAATCCAGGGCGGCCCTCCCTCAACCCCGCCGCTCGCTGCAAGGATAATGACCCGGAAAGAGGAAGGGGAAAGGGGGCAAGCGTCTATCCTACTTCTCTCCTCTCCCCTCACCTACCCTTTAACATTTCCTTTTCTTCCTTTTTCCATCTCTCGTCACCTTCCATTTTCTATCTCCACAATTTTCGTTTCCATCTTCCCTTCATCTTCACTCTCCCACCTCCCTTCTTCCTTTCGCGTATCCCCTCTTTTTCATCCTGCCTCTTGCATTTTTCCTGCCTCCCCTTTCCTTCCTTCCCTTTCCTGCCTCCCCTTTCCTTCCTTTGACAGTCTTATTCCCATCTCGTCTTTCCTATTCCTCTTCCTCTCCGCTCTCCCCTCTCATCTCCGCTCTACTGTCCTCCCCTCCCGAGCCCCTGCCCTCTCCCTCACACCACCTGCAGGTCTTACGAGCTGTGCTGGATGTCTTTATGATGCTGATTCTACCGCTCCTCTGGTATTGTTATTGTTGCCAAGACTCCCGCTGCCAAGACTATTCCTGCTGCCAAGACTATTCCTGCTGCCAAGACTATTCCTGCTGCCAAGACTATTCCTGCTGCCAAGACTATTCCTGCTGCCAAGACTCTTCCTGCTGCCAAGACTATTCCTGCTGCCAAGACTATTCCTGCTGCCAAGACTATTCCTGCTGCCAAGACTATTCCTGCTGCCAAGACTATTCCTGCTGCCAAGACTATTCCTGCTGCCAAGACTATTCCTGCTGCCAAGACTCTTCCTGCTGCCAAGACTCTTCCTGCTGCCAAGACTATTCCTGCTGCCAAGACTATTCCTGCTGCCAAGACTATTCCTGCTGCCAAGACTCTTCCTGCTGCCAAGACTATTCCTGCTGCCAAGACTATTCCTGCTGCCAAGACTATTCCTGCTGCCAAGACTCTTCCTGCGGTCAAGACTATTCCTGCTGCCAAGACTATTCCTGCTGCCAAGACTATTACTGCTGCCAAGACTCTTCCTGTTGCCAAGACTCTTCCTGCTGCCAAGACTATTCCTGCTGCCAAGACTCTTCCTGCGGTCAAGACTATTCCGGCGGCCAAGACTACTGCTGTCAAGACTATTCCTGCTGCCAAGACTCTTCCTGCTGCCAAGACTATTCCTGCTGCCAAGACTCCTGCTGCCAAGACTATTCCTGCTGCCAAGACTGCAGCTACCAATACTACTGAATTTGGACAAGTTGGAAAAGTTATTCTATGTCGCTAATAAAACCTAATCTAATCATATTAGGCCTAATACACGTTCTCTAAGGCCTAATATAGTACATGTGTGCTATATTAGGCCTAAGAATATTTAAAGTTCTGTATAAATTTTGGCGTAGGTTTGGTTAGGGGTTTAGGTACTGTTGGCGATTTATTGTACACGTAATAGCCGAGCGAAGCATTTACAAAGATGCGATTCGAACAGAGGTAGTCAGCAAAGTAATATTCGAGAAATGATGGAACTTCATCGTTGTGAGTGTGCTGCCCCTTCATATAGTCTAGGGCAGCTGCACAAATGCAGATGTACCTGATATATTAATACAAAAAAATCTGCATGACCATACTGCGAGATAGGGACTTTTAGTATCACTGTTACATTATTCACTCCTGTGTTGCTGATGATAGCCTAATAATGCACCCAAAGTCTGCCAGTGCAGACTACTTGTCACATACCTCTGTATGACTAACCATCCTGTGTGATGGGGATTTTTAGCATCACGTAGCTACCTTTTTGACACACTGTACTCCCCTTCGTATAGTCTAGGGCAGCTGCACAAATGTACCTAAATGTGTTAATAAAAAAAACTCCCATCTACGGACGAGAAGCGGTGGATTGGAGTGGAGGGGTGGGAACCCAATCTCCACTCCTTGGAGTGGAGATTGGGTTTCATAGCTTCCTAGAGCAAGTGTTGACACGGCTCACGTTGCTAATTAGCCCCCATGTTTGAGTGTCTTGCTCCCACTGTTCATATGTCCTCATAATGAACGCATCTGTTCCTCTCTCTTCACACCATTTTCTTTTTTTTCAGATAAAAAATAAATAAAAGCTTATGGTCCTGCGCGGGCCCTCAGCCTCTGGCTATCCTGGTAAGTTTTACTTATTTCTTGTTCTTCACACCTAACGCTTGCTCTCAGTACCTGTCACTCGTTCTTCACACCTGTTCCTTATTCTCCTCACCTGTTCCACGCTCTCTCACACCTGTTCCTTATTCTCCTCACCTGTTCCACGCTCTCTCACACCTGTTCCTTATTCTCCTCACCTGCCCTTCGCTCTCCTCACCTGCCCTTCGCTCTCCTCACCTGCCCCTCGCTTTCCACACCTGTTCCACGCTCTCCACACCTGTTCCACGCTCTCCACACCTGTTCCACGCTCTCCACACCTGTTCCTCGCTCTCCACACCTGTTCCTCGCTCTCCACACCTGTTCCTCGCTCTCCACACCTGTTCCTCGCTCTCCACACCTGTTCCACGGTCTCCACACCTGTTCCACGCTCTCCACACCTGTTCCACGCTCTCCACACCTGTTCCACGCTCTCCACACCTGTTCCACGCTCTCCACACCTGTTCCACGCTCTCCACACCTGTTCCACGCTCTCCACACCTGTTCCACGCTCTCCACACCTGTTCCACGCTCTCCACACCTGTTCCTCGCTCTCCACACCTGTTCCTCGCTCTCCACACCTGTTCCTCGCTCTCCACACCTGTTCCTCGCTCTCCACACCTGTTCCTCGCTCTCCACACCTGTTCCTCGCTCTCCACACCTGTTCCTCGCTCTCCACACCTGTTCCTCGCTCTCCACACCTGTTCCTCGCTCTCCACACCTGTTCCTCGCTCTCCACACCTGTTCCTCGCTCTCCACACCTGTTCCTCGCTCTCCACACCTGTTCCTCGCTCTCCACACCTGTTCCTCGCTCTCCACACCTGTTCCTCGCTCTCCACACCTGTTCCTCGCTCTCCACACCTGTTCCTCGCTCTCCACACCTGTTCCTCGCTCTCCACACCTGTTCCTCGCTCTCCACACCTGTTCCTCGCTCTCCACACCTGTTCCTCGCTCTCCACACCTGTTCCTCGCTCTCCACACCCGTTTCTCGCTCTCCACACCCGTTTCTCGCTCTCTACACCCGTTTCTCGCTCTCCACACTTGTTCCTCGCTCTCTACACCTGTTCCTCGCTCTCCACACCTATTCCTCGCTCTCCACACCTGTTCATCGCTCTCCACACCTGTTCCACGCTCTCCACACTTGTTCCTCGTTCTCCACATCTGTTCTTTGGTTGTTACATCTGAATTCTACATCTCTCAAACTCCTTAGAAAACATATCACTCCTATGTCTAGCTTTAAGTTGTCTCCCTCTCTTCTCAGTGGCAAGATTGCAATTGAACTGTTTAATTACATAATCTTTGTATTTCAGTGATAAATTGTACAGTTGATCAGTTATAACATATGGTTATAGCAGGGCCTTTCACTGACACGTGAAGAACGGAATAAACTGTGTCTTAAACTTTGATCCCACCATCCTCCAAATAGTCCTCCGAGTTTGGTGCTCTCTCTTGTTAATTATTTACACTTGGCCCTCTCAGTTTTCCTCCTAAACTTATTCCCATATTTCATGCCCCACTCCAAATAATCCACCACTTCTCTCTTTCCACCTTTCGTCACTCTTCTACTTCTTCTTCCTCCTTGGTCGCATTACCCTCTTTCAATTTAAAATTCATTTCTCAACATATTACCCAACCAACACTTGAGAATCCTTTTCCCCTCAACCCACCCCATTTCCCCCCCCTCCTCCTACAAACCCCAGTCTTCCCCCCTCCCCTACACACCTCATTCTCCCCCTTCCCTCCCCCCCCCACACACGTTGAAACTCCTTCTCTTTTAGCCATCCCGCACCCCATATATCCTCCCTCAACCATCTCACCTGCGCCGGATTATCACCTGATTGTTGTCTGCGTATTTGGGAAGAGGCTGTAAATATGTCTTGGCATATCACTAGTGTGAGTATGCGAGAGAGATGCGCGCGGAAAAGGGTAGAGAGTGAGTGAGAGAAGGAGGGAGGGAGGAAGGGATGGGGGGGGGGGGCATGATGATGGCGAGAGAGGGAGTGAGTGCATACAAGAGGTTCATACTGTCTCAGCATTAAATTTACATAACAATACTTGGGAAGATATACCGAATCGTTCGTATTATCAGAGGACACGGAGCTTAATGAAGTCCCTCGCCTCTCCCTCTCTCTCCCCTCTCATATATGGACCACGCAATCTAAAAGGCTTGTCTGCAACCTGCTTGACACACTACATATCTGTCAGTGCTATGCTCACTTTATGCTCTTTATATATGTAGACATATGCTAACATACGTACATGAGCCCGAAAGCATATAAACTAGAAATCAAGCAACAGGCAAGCAAGTAAACAAATAAACAAGAAAGCACATACACCACAGAAACATCTATACCAGTGGAATTCACGCCAAGGATAAGTGAGCCTGGACAGTAGAAAGTTAGCTTTAGAGTAATGTACTGGAACGTAGATGGGATTATAAATAAAGCAAGCAAACTTTAGGAAAGAGCACAAGAAAAACCCCCCAGATAGATGTCTTGACGAATGCAGAACTACAATGCAATAAGGAAAGAGAAGGATGGGGAGGAGTGGTGGTGCTGCTGATAAGAAAGGGCTGGAGTTTCCAAAAGATGGATATCCCTGGCTGCGAGAGATTCAGAGATTACTAAATAGGCACCAAGACAAAGGGAGGACCAAAGAGAGTAAAAGTAGTGATATATTTTGGAAAATAATCCACAACCTCAACTCAACAATTATCGTATGAAGTTTCCCAGTGGACCTTCTTCATGGGCGGCTCAGGACGTCCCCCTAACGAGTCTCAACTTGCGATATATTAACGCTGGGACTCGAATCTTATAACTTTAGTCATAAATTACCAAAATTATCTTAGTTAATGCCGTGGCAGTTATTACAATTTAAACATATTGGTCAACAATCACTGATTAAATAATATAAATTAAGTTCCCGCTTCCTGATCGCAAGGGCTGATGGGAGCGGAGACGCCATTACCAACAAGGATCAACTAGACGCCACAGCACTCTTGTGACTGCACTGTGTTTCTTAGTGTGTCTCTAATTTCAGGGACCGTTAACTAGGTATTTACTCCAGGCTGGAGCTGCATACTCCAGGCTGGAGCTGCATACTCCAGGCTGGAGCTGCATACTCCAGGCTGGAGCTGCATACTCCAGGCTGGAGCTGCATACTCCAGGCTGGAGCTGCATACTCCAGGCTGGAGCTGCATACTCCAGGCTGGAGCTGCATACTGCAGGCTGGAGCTGCATACTCCAGGCTGGAGCTGCATACTCCAGGCTGGAGCTGCATACTCCAGGCTGGAGCTGCATACTCCAGGCTGGAGCTGCATACTCCAGGCTGGAGCTGCATACTCCAGGCTGGAGCTGCATACTCCAGGCTGGAGCTGCATACTCCAGGCTGGAGCTGCATACTCCAGGCTGGAGCTGCATACTCCAGGCTGGAGCTGCATACTCCAGGCTGGAGCTGCATACTCCAGGCTGGAGCTGCATACTCCAGGCTGGAGCTGCATACTCCAGGCTGGAGCTGCATACTCCAGGCTGGAGCTGCATACTCCAGGCTGGAGCTGCATACTCCAGGCTGGAGCTGCATACTCCAGGCTGGAGCTGCATACTCAAGGATTGGTCTGACATAAATGGTGTACAAGGATCTGAATGATTCCTTACACAAGTTTCTAAAGGCAGTTCTTATGTTGGCCAATCTAGCATATGCCGCTGATGACGTCATTTTGATGTTGGCTTCTGAGGACAGGCTCGGTGCGATATTAATCCCCAGATCTTTCTATTTGACTCCTGCAGGATTTTAACTCTCAGATGGTGCCTTGTGTTCGGCCTCCTGCTTCCTTCACATAATTACATTAATTTTTAATTTCCTGAGTTAAACTTTGATAGCCATTTTCTAGACCATTCCTCTAGTTTATCCAGGTCATCTTGTAGTCTCTGTCTATCTTCAGCTGTCTTGATTCTTCTCATAGTTTTTGCATCATCATCAAACATTGAGGAATGAGTCTATATCCCTCTGGAAGAGCGTTTACATATATCAGAAACAGGATGGGTCTAAGTACAGAACCCTGTGGGATTGTGAAGACCTGGAATCTCTTGTTGAGTTCTTCACACACCTCCTTGGAGGTGTTGTGAAGAGGTGTATGAGGGTGTGTGATTTATGAGGAAGTATGGAGGTGCATGACGGGATGTGGGGGTAGATGAATTGGTGTAAAGATGCACGAGGAAGTGTGATTGTGTATGAGGGAAATGTGGAAAAGCATGAAAGGGGTGTGGAGGTGCTTGAGGGGGCGTGACGGGGTATGAAAGGGGGTGTGACGGGGTATGGGAGGGGTGTGGAGGTGCATAAGGGGGTGTGACGGGGTATGGGAGGGGTGTGGAGGTGCATAAGGGGGTGTGACGGGGTATGGGAGGGGTGTGGAGGTGCATAAGGGGGTGTGACGGGGTATGGGAGGGGTGTGGAGGTGCATAAGGGGGTGTGGAGGTGTACGAAGGGTGTGTGGTGGTGCCCGAAGGTGGGGTGGTGCAGGAGTGATGTGTGGTAGTGCATGAACGGTGTGTGGTGTTCCACAGGTGTATGGTAGAGAACAAGCGAGGGGGGGGGACCCTACTAAGAAGTTATATCAAGAGATATAAAGGGAGAATAAATTACGGGCTCACTATAGCCCGTGCTACATGGACTTTTCGTTCTAAGTAGTTAAATCTAAAACAACAACAACAACGAGAACAAAGGCGGGAGTAGAAATGAGTTAGAAGTGGGACTCACTGGGAGAGCCAACTGTGCAGTAATATGGAAGGAAAGGGTTCAAAGGGAGGGGGAGGGAATTATCAAGGGAAAGCGACAAGCCATTACGACTATATAGCACTTGGAAGGGGTCAGGATAAGGATTTGGGATGGGACGGAGGGAAGGAATGGTGCCCAACCACTTGGATGGTCGGGGATTGAACACCGACCTGCATGAAGCGAGACCGTCGCTCTACCGTCCACTCCAAGTGGTTGGACTCAAAGGGAGAGAGAGAAGAACGGAAAAGGAGAGTAGAGAGACGGAAGAGCAATGTGAGAGTAAAAGAAGTGTTCGGTGGTGGAGTTACCTTCATTTAGAGAGGCTTTATAAATTATATTCTTCCTTTAGGTTTGAAGGCTTGAATTGTGTGGTGGTCTAATTATTTCATTGTAGGTTCAACATGATTTTTGGAGTTTTATAATTCAATATGTTGGTATGAAACATTTAATTATATTTGTCTTTTTTTATTCGAGGTGAGAGAGAGAGAGAGAGAGAGAGAGAGAGAGAGAGAGAGAGAGAGAGAGAGAGAGAGAGAGAGAGAGAGAGAGAGAGAGAGCAGAGAAAGACAATGTTCAACGTATTGAACATTTAACATTCAATATGCTGAATGCTGAATGTTCTATATTGACTAACTGAACTCTGTAAATACTATGTGCGTTCTAGAATATTTGATATGCTGGACCAGTAACCACAAGTTACGATGTAATGCACCAATTACGAAATATGCGAGATGTGATTATACCTTGAGCTTGTACAGGACCTTAATCACCTTCTGTGGTTGAGTGTTCAGCACCCCCCACTGCACGATATATAGAGCACGTCTCGAACTTCATCCATAGGGTAAAGAAGAAAATGTATATATACTGGCTAGCATTGTATAAATGTAAGGCCACGTCTGTGGTAGTAAAAAACCCTCATCCCAACCCACCACCACCAAGTACCTCGGCCTACCATTACCATCTAACCCCTAGTGACCTACTATCTGAAGAAGCCAGTCGGTAATATTTCCACTTCTCGTTATTGCCAGCCTTCAGTGAGAAGACGTTTTGCCGAACTGATTAAACTGTACTAATGGCTGGGTCGTCGTCAGCGAGGAGCTCTCTGATTGGCTCACGTCAGACTTCTCGCTAAGTTTTAACCTATCATGAGCTTTCATCATTGATAGCGATTTCTCTTTGATGATTTCCCGAAATTCTCCTAATTGAGCGCAGGGAAGAGATGTATAGATACCTGATTAAAGTTTAAGCTTTAAGTGGAATAATACATTAACTGCAGCGAACAATAGGGAACTGGCAGCAAAATCAAAGATATTCAAATGACGGTGCTTAAGAGAACGACTGCGAGAATTTTCCTAAATGGTTTGCAATTGCCTGAAATATTTTCATCC